CATTTAAACTCCACTTAAAATTCTAGACACATCCCTTTGGTTAATCAGACGAAGAAAACTTTTTTTTTGCCCACTTAAAATTGATTTGCTATAATTGCTCTTATCTCTCTAACATTACACGATCTCTTAGATGCAGTGTCTAACAAAAAGCAAACTTTAGGATAAATTTATGAAAGTGTTTTGAGGTTTTGAAGTTTTAGCAAGATTATTATTGTTAAATTGCACAAGATTTACTGTACATGTTAAAGGGAGCTAGTTTGAATCACTAAAGCATGATGACATATCTATAACAGGCAATGAACATATGCCATCACAAACTAATACAAGTACTGATTGACTTACTTTGTGACCACAAAGATTGATTATCTTTTTCCTATTAGAGAAAGGTACTTTATTAAAACAGGCAGGCAGACAGTATGCAGAGCCCTGGGCACCAGCAGGTGCCAATCCATCTGATTATTTTACCGAAAGGCAATTTGTAAACAAACTCTGGGCTTTTTAATTAGAGAGTGAAGCAAACTGTCTAATCAACACCCAGTAATGACAGAATTATCACAGCCGCACAAAAATCCCAGGATCTTTCTTTATTAAAGGCCACATTTTGAAACACTTCGATTCAAAGGCTTTCAGAGCAAGAAAACACATTACAGATGGTCCTTGCTGAATGATCTTCGCTCAGCAAGTATCCTGTCAGGTGCAAACAACCAGAATTTGAGCAAACTACTTTATTATGTTCTGCCTATAATACAGGAATCTTCCCAGTTTGGTAGCCTACTCTTGGGAACAATTAGATAAGACTCAAAGGAACTTGGGGGGGAGGAACTTAGCTCTTTTGCGGTTGTGTAGTAGAGAGTTGGTCTCTGACAGAAGGCCACCTGAAGAGACTAGAAGCATTTGAAATGTGGATTTACAGGCGGCTGTTATGTAGAAGCTGGGTTGACAAGATCAGAAATGAGGAGGTGATCAGCCGCCTGGGAAAGCCAAGGGAAATCATCAAAACAATTAAAAACGGATATTAGAATATTTCGGACATGTGATGCAACACCCAGAAAAATACAGCATACTTCATTTAATCCTCCAGGGAAAGATTGAAGGCAAACGAGGTCCAGGCAGAAGAAGAACATTGTGGCTTCAAAATCTAAGGGACTGTTTTGGACAAAACTCAGCAGCACTTTTTCGTGGGGCTGCTGATAAAAACAGGATCGCCAATGTCCAATAACAGATACAGCACAAGAAGAAGTGATTCCAGGCCACTCTCTGATTTGACGTGCCAGCTAATCTTCTCTGTCTTCTTGCGCGTGCTTACAATGCACCACTCATCTGGCAATAATAATAATAATAATAATAATAATAATAATAATAATAATAATAGTAGTAGTAGCAACAACAACTTTGTCACTTTGAAAGTACACCAATCGGCTTACATCAAAATGAAATTTTGTTGCATACAGCTCTCAAAGGGCCACCACCTCCGATATACACTCCTTGTCCGTGGCCAGCTCAAGTTACAGATCTTCCATTTTACTCTCTAGGGAGCGAACGATGGCAAACAGATGGAAATGGAGCTCCGTGTGGATTAGCTCTCAAATTAGCTTGTATTCCTGCGCGACAACCTCGCCTCATTTTCTTTTTTTGATCCTGAATCTTTCACCTTTTCCTTAAAGGGGCCTCGCTCCTTTTCGCCCCTGGAGCATGCTGCTTGGCGCTGCCTCCAACTTCTCCAAAAGCCTCTCTCCCTTCCTTGGGAGCCCCAGGACTATTCCTTCTCAGCCTCCTTCGGAAACAGCCCTGATTTGCAATAGAATCTGTCGCTGGGCCAGCAGTCAGATCTTGCTGCCCGGCAGAACAATTTCAAATAGCGCAAACGACTTTTAACGGTCTCACCAACCGTTCCGAAACAGCTAAAATCTGTTCACGAGCCAACTGCTGGCTGCACAAGGTCTTCTTCTCCAGTTTGCACCTCTGGAGACCTTAGGAGTGGCAGAGTGTAGGGTAAGTGTGGCTAGGACTTCATGCTGCAGCCTGAGGGTAGCTTTTGTTGGTATTGGGCTCTCCTCCGGCATTTGCTGAAGCCCTCTGCCGGTTCACCCAGAGCGCTTCTGATGTGAACTGCAAGCGGACGCAGGATGTTCTCGTGAAAAACTGGTCTGCAGGCTTCAGAGCACAGGAAACTGTTGGCCCTTTCAAGGCTTTATCGAAGGAGGAGAGAGCAAGCCGTGTCTGATGTGTGGTGCTCCAGCGGGCAGACTAGGCACGCACATGGGAATGTACGGCAGGCTGAGACTGTTGAAGTTGGCAGGCCTACTGGGAGCCTGGAGGCCAGGTACACGGGAGTGGCAGTGATCCCAGGACCAACAGAGCCCCTGCACTGAAGAATAAGCAGATGGCAAAGATCTATTACGGCCAAGCGGGAGTAGCTGGCAGAGTGCAGGATGGCCAAAGTGACCAAGATGGAGGGAGAGAGAGAGAGATAGAAGGGTGGAGGGAGTTGATATCGAGGTGAATGTGCCAAGGCAGCAGAAGCGTGAAATTCTCTACTAATGGCAGTTACAACTAGGTAGATCTAGTTCTGGTTGTTAAGCTCTGGTTGTTGTTAGAAGACAGACACAGACTTCAACGGAGAGTTAGGACTGCAGAAAAAATGATGGCAACTACCCTGCCTTCCATCGAGGGTCTGTATACTGACTGCACGGGTCAGAAAGAGGGCTGAGAAAATAAATATCTACAGATCCCTCACATCCTCGACATAAACTGTTTCAACGTCTCCCCTCAAGACGGCATTATAGAGCACTGCACGCCAAAACTAACTAGACACAAGGACAGGTTTTTTTTTCTCCCATGCCATCCTTTTGCTAAACAACTATTTCTCACCACACTGTCTTATGCCTTGGGATGTCCAGTCACCTAGTGGGCCTGTATTACTTATTATCCTTCTCATCTTTCCTATTAGCTTCTTATGACTTGGTTGCTTGTATCTTTCGACTTATGTTGACTGCTTTTATTTGTATCCTATTGTGAATTTATGTTGATTGCTTATTCAGTATCCTGTGACTATCACCGAGTGCTGTGTCTTATGATTTATGATGAATGTATTTTATGATGATTATAATCACGATCACGATTTATCACTTGCTGCTTGTACGTACACAAAGAGCTTCTGCACCGGGGACAAATTACTTGTGTGTCCAATCACACTTAGTCAATAAAGTATTCTATTCTATTCTGGTTGATAGGCTCCTGGCTTAAGAACCACAACTAGGCATACAGAAATTGCATCACTGAGCAATGCGATCACGTGATGTTTCAAGATCCAATAGGGGTCAGTCACCGGAACCAGAAGTTTACTCTTCTGAGCTTTCAAACTCGTGCTGGAGCCCATCCTCAGGGAACTTCTCTCTACCGGAATACCGTATATGCCGGCGTATTAGGTGACCCGGCGTATAACACGACCCCCGTCTTTATCGCCGAGCCGCATTCCTAGAACGTTGTCTTATACGCCGGAAACTACCAGTATTTCCGGCGTATAAGACGACCCCCGGCTTTGGCGCCGAGTTTAGCGCTTCCGGAAGTCATCTTATACGCCGGCATATACGGTATGTACTTTGGGCTATTCTATGCATAGTATTTATGTGATGCCTGGTTAAGTGTGGGTTTTTTTATTGGTTGATTGGGGTGTCAGTGGTCAATATTATTACATGAGGTTTCAGCTAATGACTCTTTTACTTAGCGATCGAAATTCCAGTCCCGTTTAGTGTTGTTAAGTGAGACCTACTTGTATTTAAAATCAAACTATTAAGACAATAAAACCAAATTACATCCAACGTCAGCAAAGCAGTCCATATTGCATTCAACCTCATGGTTTTATAGATAAGATTGTATAGTGTTAACATACAAAATTAAGCTTCCAAGACCCACACATCACTAAGAAAGAATAAGTGCCCAGAAAGGGCAGCCAGGTAGGAACCAAAGACCAAAGAACATCCTCAGCAATTCGTAACTCAGACAAGGGTGACTATCGTTGTATAATTCAAAGTACCCAAAGCTGTATTTTAACACACCTACAGTCCACTGGAGCAGACAGTGAAACTATAATCCAGCACTTAGCAACCGGTTTTGAGGAAAATAATGTCTACTCGGGATGATTCCCCACAACTACATGAACTAAATATAGAGGCGGTAATTTCATAGTAAGCCATTTGGCTTCAAAGATTTAATAAATGATCCCCTCCGAAAAAGCACAAGTGGCATTTTGCGCTGTTCAACTTTTTTTTTTCCATTTTTTATTATTTTATTTTCATTACAATCATAAGAAAAAAAAATTCAGATACATAAGAAGTTAAAATAGAACACAAATTCCACCATTGCTCACCCATTTCCCCCCAGACCGCATCCCCCTCTCATCTCTTCACTTCCCCCTTCCTTCTACCTCCTCCTCTGCTCCCGTCCCTCTCTCCTCCATCTTTCTACTTACCGTATTTTCTGGCGTATAAGACGACTTTCTAAACCATGCAAAACTTCTCCGAAGTCGGGGGTCGTCTTATACGCCGAGTCATACCGTATTTTCCGGCGTATAAGACGACTTTCTAACCAGGCAAATCTTCTCCAAAGTGGGGGTCGTCTTATACGCCAAGTCGTCTTATACGCCGGAAAATACAGTACTTATCCCTCTCCTCTTCTTCTCAATCGGATGCAGTCTGAGGGAAAATGCCCGAGCAACCTCTATCACCAAAATCTGAACTATTGAAAATACTACCCATACTCTCCTCTCCCCCCTCTCCCCCTCCCTCCCGACTTCCCAGAGCTCAATACAGGGTTACAAAAAAAAAAGAAGAAAAAAACAAAAAAAAGAAAACTAAACATACTCAACTTAAATTTACTACTTTTGCGCTGTTCAACTTTTGAAAAAGTTTCCCAGTGCTTTTTGCAAAGTATTTCAGCAAGAAGCAAACCCACATCAGAAATTCTACTTTGCCGAACTATCAAGTCTTCGCATTACTCACCCCACTGGAGAGGCGCCAACTGTAGGTGATCCAGGACAACTTGATTCAGGATCCCTTCCACGCTTGCCTCCCCTTCACGCTTCATAGAGGGGTAAATGATAGTTAAGGAATATTGAAAAGAAACCCACTGACAGTCTTTCAGGGCAAATCTATACAAAAAAATTTCAGCGGATGGAGATCAAAGTCAGAATTCAAGGTCCCACCACAATGAAGTTCCGTTCAAATATTTTCCTTTGGGATAGAAAAAAAGAAGCTACAGTAATAGGGAAATTTAGCCCATGCTGCTCCTAGATGTTACGATCAACGCTTGAACCAAAGAGCTTTAGGTAAGCTCTAAAGTGGTTTATTTGTAAACTATAATTGTGGCCTAGCGCAGGGCTTTTCAACCAGTGGTACGGGTACCACCTGTGGTACATTGGCACCTGGCAGGTGGTATGCGACCATCCTAGAAAAGTGGTAGCGGAATGAGAGGAATGAGCTGGACTGGTGGCAGCACCGCACAAGCCTGAGCGAGAGATGGCTGGAGCTGCAGGGCTGTCAGGGCTCAGCGGAAGCGCCAGGATCAGCGCCAGGCTCCAGCTGGAGCTTCTGCTGAGCCCTGAAGAAGCATCAATCAGCTGGAAAGCAGCACTGATCCTGGCGCTTCTGCTGAGCCCCGAAGAAGCGCCGATCAGCTGAAATGTTGCAGCATCTCCAGGGTCTTGTGATTTACATTCAGATGCTTGGCAACTGATTCATGTTTATGACGGTCAGTGTCCCAGGGTATTTTGAAATGACCAAAACCTGCTGCAACCACCCAGCAGACAGGGGGGGGAATAAAAACCAAACACCCCCCACCCCACCCCCGCTGCCAATTCTCAACAGAAATGCTGACAACAATGAAAACCTCGGACAGGAGGAAGAGTGCCGCCGGGTGGGCAGGCAGGTGTCTTGCTCGGCTGTGGCTTGGGGGGCACTTTTTTCAGTGCCATTGTAACTTTGAACAGTCACTAAGCGAACTGTTGTTAAGTCGAGGACTACCTGTACTTCATCACTTTTTTCCTTTTCTTTTTTTGGTCATCATGTTTTTGACCCCTTGCTAGGTGACTGGTGGTATTCGGATACTGCCATATCCTAAAAGTGGTACAATGGGTGAAAAGGTTGAAAAGCCCTGGCCTAGCATACTACCAGGCTTGATGTTTGCAGTAATTTGTTATTCCATACCAGCGGTTCTCAACCTATGGGTCGCGACCCCATTTGGGGTCGATCGACCATTTTACGGGGGTCTCCAAAGAAGGCAATCCGCCATTTCCCCCCCTCAGGGGGCGGCGCCGCGCATGCACGCCGTGCATGGGGGTGGCCCCGCGCATGCGCACCGCGCATGGGGGCGGCCCCACGCATGCGGGCACATTTGTGTGACGGGGGTCGCCGTCACACAAACGTTGAGAACCACTGTTCCATACAGGGTGGCTTAGTTTGATAAGCAATCTTGGCCAAAGAGAAATCTGTGTTCTGAGCCAAGTAATCTAGATATCACAGGAAGAGGCAAAACTATTCTACATCAAGTGTGTGATCACTATTATATCTTTACAATTACTGTATACTCAGGTCTTCCCCAAAATATGTGTTAGGCCTGTCATTCCTATGATGGAACAAATGATAGAACAAAAGGCAAGGAAATTTGATGTCTTCCCGCTGGCAGAAACTTCCCAAATTTTTAAAATGTCCTGTAAAGTAGAAATAAATGAATCAATTGGCTTTGCTTGTCAAAATATCGCAAAAGCTGATTGCATGAACCTGGGACATTGCAACCATCATAAACATGAGTCAATTGCCAAGCATCTGAATATTGATCATGTGACCCTGGGGATGCTTCAACGGTTGTGTGAAAAGTGGTCATTAAGTCACTTTTTCCGATAACGTTGTACCTTCAAACGATTGCTGTTGTAGGTGGAGGACCACCTGTATTCAAACTTATTATCAATAATTGTAGAAATGCTGAACTATATTAATTTAATGCCCCCCATCTTTATGGAAGTCGAAGAAGCTGGTGGTCAAATTTCATTTTTCCTTTCATGTAATTTCAACATAACCCTTATTTGCAGACATCAATTAATTCCACTGGCTCTACTGTTTCTTAGCCCTTAGTCACTTTGCTATGTAGTTTGACCTCTGGCATTTAATTAAGAAGATGTTTCACTTACGATTTCCCATAGGAATAAATACAGCTGAGCGAATGTCCTACTTTAGCAGCAATAAATAAGAGCTTCACAAATAGAAACTATACTAACAAAAATGCTTGTAATGATTAATATATATATCTATCTATAATTAGAATAGAATAGAATAATGAATAGAATAGAATAGAATAATGAATAGAATAGAATAGAATAGAATAGAATAGAATAGAATAGAATAGAATAGAATAGAATAGAATAGAATAGAATAGAATAGAATAGAAGATGGACGGGACCTTGGAGGTCTTCTACTCCAGCCCCTGCTCAAGCAGAAGAACCTAGGTTTAGGGTTACATCAGCATGAAGTTGGAGAGTAAAATGGACATTGCCAAAAAATTCAGAGTGCTTGGGTATGATTAGGAGGTCACTGACTTTTCTAGGCTGCCCTATCTATATTTCCTGGTAAAATACAGGGGAAAATCCCACTGGAGGAAAATTCCATTTAGGGTTAGGGTTAGGCACCATGAACTCAGGGAGGAAATTGGACATCGCCAACAAATTCGGAGTGCTAAGGTATGGTTAAGAGGGCACTGACTTTTCTAGCCTGCCCTATCTATATTCTGGTAAAATACATGGGAAAATCCCACGTGAGGAAAATTCCACTTAGGGTTAGGGTTACGTCACCATGAACTTATAGAGAAAAATGGACATCACCAACAAACTCGGAGTGCTTTTGTATGGTTAGGAGAGCACTGACTTTTCTAGGCTGCACCATCTATGTTTCCTGGTAAAATACATGGGAAAATGCCATTGGAGGAAAATCCCACTTAGGGTTAGGTCACCATGAATTCAGAGAGGAAATTGGATATCGCCAACAAATTCGGAGTGCTTGGGTATGGGTAGGAGGGCACCGACTTTTCTAGCCTGCCCTATCTACGTTTTCTGGTAAAATACATAGGAAAATCCCATGTGAGGAAAATTCCACTTAGGGTTAGGGTTAGCTCACCATGAACTCATAAAGCAAAATGGATATCGTCAACAAATTTGGAGTCCTTGAGTATGGTTAGGAGGCACTGACCTTTCTAGCCTGCCCTATTTATGTTTCCCGGTAAAATACATGGGAAAATCCCATGTGAGGAAAATCCCACTAAGGTTTAGGGTTAGGTCACCATGAACTTGGAGGGGAAAATGGAGATCGCCAACAAATTTGGAGTGGTATGGTTAGGAGGGCACTGACCTTTCTAGCCTGCCCTATCTATGTTCCATGGTAAAATACATGGGAAAATCCCATTGGGGGAAAATTTCACTTAGGGTTAGGGTTAGGTCACCATGAACCCGGAGAGGAAAATGGATATCGCCAACAAATTTGGAGTGCTTGGGTATGGTTAGGAGGGCACTACCTTTCTAGCCTGCCCTATCTACGTTTCCTGGTAAAATGGGAAAACCGCACTGGAGGAAAATTCCACTTAGGGTTTGGGTTAGGTCACCATGAACTCATAAAGCAAAATGGATATCGTCAACAAATTTGGAGTCCTTGGTTATGGTTAGGAGGGCATTGACCTTTCTAGCCTGCCCTATCTATGTTCCATGGTAAAATACATGGGAAAATCCCATTGGAGGAAAATCCCACTTAGGGTTAGGTCACCATGAACCCGGAGAGGAAAATGGATATCGCCAACAAATTTGGAGTGCTTGGTTATGGTTAGGAGGGCACTGACCTTTCTAGCCTGCCCCATCTACGTTTCCTGGTAAAATGGGAAAACTACACTGGAGGAAAATTCCACTTAGGGTTAGGATTAGGTCACCATGAACTCATAAAGCAAAATGGATATCGTCAACAAATTTGGAGTCCTTGGGTATGGTTAGGAGGGCATTGACCTTTCTAGCCTGCCCTATCTATGTTCCCTGGTAAAATCCATGGGAAAATCCCATTGGAGGAAAATCCCACTTAGGGTTAGGGTTAGGTCACCATGAACCCGGAGAGGAAAATGGATATCGCCAACAAATTCGGAGTGCTTGGGTATGGTTAGGAGGGCACTGATCTTTCTAGCCTGCCCTATCTATGTTCCATGGTAAAATACATGGGAAAACCCCATTGAAGGAAAATCCCACTTAGGGTTAGGGTTAGGTCACCATGAACTCATAAAGCAAAATGGATATCGTCAACAAATTTGGAATCCTTGGGTATGCTTAGGAGGGCACTGACCTTTCTAGCCTGTCCTATTTATGTTTCCTGGTAAAATACATGGGAAAATCCCATGTGAGGAAAATCCCACTAAGGGTTAGGGTTAGGTCATCATGAACTCATAGAGGAAATTGGACATCGCCAACAAATTCAGAGTGCTTGGGTATGGTTAGGAGGGCCCTGACTTTTCTAGCCTGCCCTATCTATGTTTCCTGTTAAAATACATGGGGAAAACGCACTGGAGGAAAATTCCACTTAGGGTTAGGGTTAGGTCACCATGAACTTGGAGGGGAAAATGGAGATCGCCAACAAATTTGGAGTGCTTGGGTATGGTTAGGAGGACACTGACTTTTCTAGCCTACCCTATTTATGTTTCCTGATAAAACACATGGGAAAATCCCATTGGAGGAAAATCCCACTTAGGGTTAAGGTTAGCTCACCAAGAACTCATAAAGCAAAATGGATATCGCCAACAAATTCGGAGTGTTTGGATATGGTTGGGAGGGCACTGACATTTCTAGGCTTCCCATGTTTTTCCCATCTAGTCCTTCCTTTGGGGTTTTTTGTTTCTTTGTTTAGTACTTTTAGAGCTTTAAGAAAAAACTGGAGGTATGAAATTCCAGGGACATTGTTTCATTGCTATTTAGAGACATGGTGTTTTGACAAGACTGGAGATGACATATAATACTTGCTCCTCACTCGACTTATCATTAGAACATTTTTCACATTTTCAAAAATATAATGTGCTTTCGAGAATCAAGCTCCCAATGCAGGGTGATGAATTTAATTCCGCATGTCTAGACTAAATAATCACCAACGGTGAAGTATATTTCAAACTAATAATGATTTAAATTGAACTGAATAATTAAAGTTTAATTATCGTCCCTGGTTACTGACTATTATTCTCACTTTTATTCGTTCCTTTCATTTGTAGCCAATCTAATCAGTCCTTTCGTGCCCACAAGAGATCTAAATCCAGCCCACCTTGAATTCTGTTGACTCTTATCTACCACCAATTTGCTTTGGCTGTTGGAAGCTCAGATTCCTGTAGAGAGCTTGAGCACGCATGGAACATAGAACGTAGAATAACAGAATTGGGAGGGAGACCAGAGGTTTTCTAGTCCAGGGCTTTTCAACCTTTTCACCCATCGTGCCACTTTTAGGATATAGCAACATCTGAGTACCACCAGTCGCCTAGCAAGGGGTCAAAAACTTGATGACAAAAAAAGGAGAAAAGTGGTAAAGTACAGGTGGTCCTCGATTTACAACAGTTCGCTTAGTGACTGTTCAAAGTTACAGTGGCACTGAAAAAAGTGCCCCCCAAGTCACAGCCGAGCAAGACAGCTGTCTGCCCGCCCGGCCGCGCTCTTCCTCCTGCTCGAGGTTTTCAGTGTTGTGAGCATTTCTGTTCAGGATTGGCAGCGGGGGTGGGGTGGGTGTGTTTGGTTTTTATTCCCCGTCTGCTGGATGGTTGCAGCAGGTTTCGGTTACTTCACATGACCCTGGGACACAGTGACGGTCATAAATATGAATCAGTTGCCAAGCATCTGAATGTAAATCACAAGACCCTGGAGATGCTGCAACATTCCAGCTGATCGGCGCTTCTTCAGGACTCAGCAGAAGCACCAGGATCAGCGCTGAACTCCAGCTTGAGCCTGGCACGGATCCTGGCACTTCCACTGAGCCCTGACAGCCCAAAGAAGCGCTAATCCTGGCGCTTCCGCTGAGCCCCGACAGCTCTGCAGCTCCAGCCATCTCTCGCTCAGGCTTGTGCGGTGCTGCCATTGGTTCAGCTCATTCCTCTCCCCCGCTACCACTTTTCTAGGATGGTCACGTACCACCTGCCAGGTGCCAATATACCACAGGTGGTACCCGTACCAGTGGTTGAAAAGCCCTGTTCTATTCCAACCCCCTGCTCGAGCAGGAGACCCCATACCAGTGATGGTGAACCTTTTAGAGACCAAGTACCCCAAAACCCTAACCCTAACTTTAACCCTGCTCTGCCCCCACCCGCTCCACCCCAACCCATGGCCAACCCCGTCCCACCCACCTGCAGGGCCACCCACCGCCTCCACAGCCTGCTGCGGTTCGCCATGGCAGCCACACCTTCCGCCCGCACCCCACAGCAACAACTGTGCACGATGGGGCGTAAGGGCAGAGTCTTGTCCCCACTGCGCGGCTGCCATGTCCTTGGCTGCGCTGCTCCACATGGGCTGTGCTCAGGGCTCTCCTCCAGGGGGGTTGCTTGTGAGGAGGGGCTGTGGGGGGAGGTGGGGCTGGGGCGACAGCACACGTGCCCACAGAGAGGGCTCTGAGTGCCATAGGTTCGCCACCACTGCCCCATACCATTTCAGACAAATAGTTATCCAGTCTCTTCTTGAAAGCCTTCCGTGATGGAGCACCCACAACTTCTGAAGGCAAAATGTTCCATTTAGTTGCAATAAACCCGTCTTGCTTCCTGATTATTGCGCCTGACACCAACAATGTCTAACAGGGTGGGGGGATTTCAGGAGCTTATGGCATTCTTCTCTAGATATATTTAAAAATACATGAAAAACAGAAAAAGAGCTTTTCCCCCCCCATCCACATCGGACGTTTTTCTAAATTGTGAATTTTCATCTTTGCATCCAAGTACAAGTGCTCTTTTTTCCTCTTTCAAAATTCCAGCCAAATTCCTTACCAAAATTGTCCTTTTCGGTTGGAAACCTACTCCAAATAGAGCACTAAAATCTGAAGTACCTTATTAAATATTTAGAAAATATTAATCAAATGAAAGGGCTGAGCAATAGTAACCAGTCTAAAAAATTGTCTGCCATCTGCTCCAACGCTGAATAGCAGAAACAACATTCTGCTGTGCAGACAAGAGCAGATGCCATTAGCACATGCTACATTAAGATGTAGAAGCTTTCCAATATTGGAATTTGAATTGCTAGAGGTTCTTATTTAAATAAGATGTTGTTTTAAAAAAATGTATTATTAGAAACCGAAAAAAGATATTCTATGTGAAGGAGAATCTGTACGTTCCAATATATACAGTATAGTGTTTTATAATAAGAAACTGGGCAGAAGCTCTTCCTAACTATGATCTGTTTGTCTTACACACATGTCAGGGTAACGATGTAATGTAATATAAGCAGTGGTGGGATTCAAATAGGTCAACAACTGGTTCTCTTTGTGGATGCTGCTTCCAGAAGTCCATTCTGGGCCTGGGCAACAAAAAATTAGCCACTGATTCTGCCTAACTGGCGCAAACCGGCTGAATCCCACCACTGCATATAAGGTAGATGATGCAATGACTCAGCAGGACCAGTGTCTCTTTAAGAGCAGGCAGGGTCTGTATCCCTTTAAGAGCCTGAGTATAAAAGGGAAGGCTTTGCTGGAGTGTTTCTCTCTTGTCCGTTTCCTGCTGTTAACTGCTGTGTGTTGGATTTTGCTATATTACCACGTCTATGTATCTTGTTCCTGGTGTATGATATTGTAGATAGTGTAATATAAACCACCATTTAATATAGACCATGTTTACTGTGTTTACTCCTGGGTTATCTCAGCGTAATAAGACTGTGCATGCTCTGAGAACACACAAAAAGATTCCTACTCATTTGATTTCAGGGCCATGGACAAAAAAGGACTGCAAAGGGATTCCAACCAGTTTGTCCATTCTTTCTACCTAAGCCAATTTTCGCTCACCAATTTCTGCTCCAAGGGTTCAAAATAATAGTCTGCTTGCCAACAATCTGTAAGAGCAGAAATGGGTGAGCAGCCAGATAAATGCTCCTTCAGAACTTAAAACCATTCATTACCTGAGGAGTAACTAAACTTTGTTTTGCTGCGATGAAAGCAAACTATAATTGGTTAAAGGCATATTTACCTTAGTTTTAAATATTATCTTTGGTTTGATACACCTAAACTAATAATAATTTGATCCAGAATTGAAGAAGCTTCTTGGATGAAAAGTGAAATGTTTGAAAAAAAAGAAAAAAAAAAAACAAGAAAGCCCCAGTTGCCTTTTGGAAAAAGCAAGGCAAGACAAGAAGCAACGGATGGAAACTAATCAAAGAGAGAAGCAACCTAAAACTAAAGAAAAACTTCCTGACAGTTAGAACAATTAACCAGTGGAACAACCTGCCTCCAGAAGTTGTGAATACTCCAACACTGGAAGTTTTTAAGAAGAGACTGGACAACTATTTGACTGAAATGGTATAGGGCAGGGGTAGGGAACTTTGGTTCTTTTATGATTTGTGGACTTCAAGTCCCAGAATTCCTGAGTCAGCATGGCTAGTTCAGGAATTCTGGGTATTGAAGTCCACAAGTCATAAAATAGCCAAGGTTCCCTACCCATAGTATAGAATTGCTTGCCTGAGCAGGCAGTTAGACTAAGACCTCCAAGATTCTTTCCAACTCTGTTATTCTGATTCCTGATTTCCTGCACTTGGCTTTGTACTTTCCATTAAAAGCTACGTCTGCCATCTTCAATGCCTCTGGGGTCAAAGCACAAATATTTCTAGCATCTCTCTAACTATATTTCTTCTCCTTATATCCAATGGATTGTGGTCAGGAGTCAGATTCTATTTTCTCAAAGGGAATATCTTGGAAGGTTCTGAGTTATAAAAATATATACTACAGTTCTTCATTATTTAAAACACGAAAGCTCTGTAGAACGCTCAACTGAATGAAAAAAACAAGGCTTTAAAAGAAGCCTAGAGAGAAATGAAAATGTTCGTTACAATTCGTTTAAAAGCCTGTGATTGTATGAAATGCTCGACTTTAAACCACGTCTTTTTCATCCGCGTTCCTAGAAATGAATCAAAGATCGTAGTCCTGCTGGAGAATTTCTGAAAAAAAAAGGATATAATTTTCCAGACAATGTCTAACTTGCTGTTGATCTCCAGGCTTTTTGCTTGCTTCCTCTCTTCTTCCAGCTGCTTTGGATTTGTATACTGTGCTCTTTCACCAGGTGAGTTTGGGTAACTTTCAAAGTTGAACTTGTCCACTTGTATAGCCATGCTACAATGGAAAAGAGAAATAATTTACTAGCAAACTTTTATGGAACATTTTGTGGATCACACAGCCAATATGCACCACCTCAGTTAAAGAACGGGAAACAGTGATGAAAGGTAGTCCTCGACGTATGACTGTAAATGACTGCAATTTTGGTCATATCATTAAGCGAGTCATTATGTGACCACATCTGATTTTACAATCTTTTTTATGGTGAGCCAATCTTCCCAGAGCCTCCCTCATCCCTCCCATGTTCTTTTCCTAGGATTCCCTCCACTTCCCACTTAATCTGGACTTACGACTGCAAATGCCAGGATTTCCATCGCTAAGCAATATGGTCACGTGATGTCATGCTTTATGAACACATCACTTAGATACAGAAAGTCCAGCCCCAATTGGGACTGTTAAGTCAAGGATTGCAGTAAAGTGAAGAAGGGCAGAAAAGTGAAACGCACGAAGGAGAATTTCTGCAGGCACAATGCTGCAATACACAGTCTTCCCTCAATACTGTCATTTGTTTTATCCAGGAGTAGCTGAAAATGAAGGGTTGGATTATAGACCAATTCATAACTCTTTATCACTGAGGAACCAATCAAGATTTTAAAAGCAATTATCTAATAATTCTGCCTGATAAAGTGGCACGGGGCACTTCCTCGCAGACATTTTTGTAGCATTCATAAAGGACACCTCCAATAATTTCCTCGCTTGATAATATAAAGCTTATTGGATAGGATTGAAAAGATCAGATAGTAATTGCCCTCATCTGTCATAATCTCCAAGGTGGCAGCCAAGACATTATTGCAACGCCAGTGAAAATGTACAAGAACCTGACAAACAATCTACTTGTATACTTTCTCGAAGTGAAGTGTCTTGTTAGGCTTCTGAAAAGTTTGATGGTGTCTTTTCCCAGTTCCTCACCTTACTGTCAGAACAAATTACAGATAGGTTTCTTGAAAACAAACATCAGGTATGCTCCCTACATAAAAATGCTAGATTATACTGCTATTAAATATACTAGTTTTAGACTATATTAGTGTACACCGCCTATATGCCCTGGATCCATTGTAATCTGTACAGAATACCAAAAATCTAATCCAGGCCACATTAAGTCATCTTCATTCTTTGTTTGTTTTAAATTCCAGATTATCTATACCCCTCACATCTATAACTGCCAAGGAGACCTGAATATCTGGAAGAAAAACAACTCCTATCAACTATTTTTCACACTCCAAACATTTTGTAATGCTACACTGATATCCTCAGTTAACAGACTGACAACATGAAGAGCAATAAAAAGGCTTGCTGTTGTTGTTAGTTGCGAAGTCGTGTCCGACCCATCACGACCCCATGGACAACGTTCCTCCAGGTCTTCCTATCCTCTACCTATTTGCAGACATGAATCAGATTCTGATCTTCCCAAATCAAGAGCTAAGAGCTCCTTGTTCAACAATCTGTAACAAAGGTTCCACATTTAGGCAAAAAATAAACTTCACCAATCCACAGGTACAGTACAGGTGGTACCCGCCTCAATAGTCAGTAATTGTGAGAGGGATCTTGGAGTTAAGTGCACAATCACTTAAATACGAGCCAGCCGTGTGCTGCAGCTCCAAAAGAGCCAAAGCAGTCCTAGGCTGTATTAACAGAGGGACAGAATCAAGATCACGTGAAGTATTAATACCACTTTACAATGCCTTGGTAAGGCCACACTTGGAATACTGCATCCAGTTTTGGTCACCGCAATATAAAAAAGATGCTGAGATTCTAGAAAGAGTACAGAGAAGAGCAACAAAGAAGATCAGGGGACTGGAGGCTAAAACATACAAGGAACGGTTGTATGTATGTCTAGTTTAACGAAGAGAAGGACAAGGGGGGACATGATAGCAGGAGTCCAGTATCTCAGGGGCTGCCCCAAAGAAGAGGGAGGGAGAGGGAGTCAAGCTATTTTCCAAGGCCCCTGAAAGCAGGACAAGAAGCAACGGATGGAAACTAATCAAGGAGAGAAGCAACCTGGAACTAAGGAGAAACTTCCTGACCGTTAGAACAATTAACCAATGGAACAACCTGCCTCCAGAAGCGGTGAATGCTCCAACACTGGAAGTTTTTAAGAAGAGACTAGACAGCCATTTGTCCGAAATGGTGTACGGTTTCCTGCCTGAGCAGGGGGTTGGACTAGATGAGCTCCAAGGTCCCTTCCAACACCAAGGACCTCTATTCATCTACCTCAGTGGTTCTCAACTTGTAGGTCGGGACCCGGTTTTGGGTCGAACGACCATTTCACGGGGGTCGCCAAACAATGCAGTCCGCCATTTTTCCCCCCTTTTCCTTAGCTGTGCTACTCCCTTTTATTCTATTGGCTTTTGAAAGCCAATAGGATAGACTCTCTTGAATAGAGTCTAATTCTATTGGCTTTCAAAAGCCAATAGGAATTGTCCAGGCTGTCTCTGCACTGCTCAGCCCGCCAAAAGTCCCATTCTGCAAACGTAAGTCGAGTAGTCCTCAACTTAAGACCGTTGGGGGTCGCAACATTAAAAAGGTTGAGAACCACTGACCTATACTATACCTTTACATTTGGTTTTTCTTGCCTAAATGTAGAACCTTACTTTTTTCACCACTGAATTTCATTTTGTTAACATGCCAGTTATCAAACACCCACGTTTTGATCAAATGACCCCAGGGATGCTGCAATAGTCGTAGGTCTGGGGATCAATCAGAAGTCACTTTTTTCAGCACCATCGGTAACTTCAAACAGTCAGCGCACGAGTGGTTGTAAACTGAGGACAGCCTATAGTGGAGCTAAAGCTTTTGCTTGATGAATTGTAATGGTTACAAGTATTCATTTGTATTCCTGCTGATTAACACCTCTCAAATCCCCCTAAGCACTTTTCATCTGCTGATGAAGATAATATTTAATAAAGGGGGATGCTTTATTGTCCCAATCATTCAGTCTCAAGCAGTCACCGTTCCTGGTTTAAGAGCACGCAAAGGAAAGATTTCATTTATCCTGCTGCTGATTAATTTTGTGCTGATTTACCGGTGCGTAGGATCACAAAATGTGATCCACTGGAGAAGGAAATGGCAAACCACTCCAGTATCTTTGCCATGAAAACCCCATGGACAGTACTAAAAGGCAAAAAGATATGATGCTGGAAGATGAGCCCCTCAGGTCGGAAGGTGTCCAATATGCTACTGGGGAAGAGCAGAGGGCTAGTACTAGTAGCGCCAGAAAGAATGAAGCGACTGGGCCAAAGCCGAAAGGACGCTCAGCTGTGGATATATCTGGTGGTGAAAGGAAAGTCCGATGCTGTAAAGATTTTTTCTCCATAGGAACCTGGAATGTAACTTAAATGGACTCCAGAAGATGGTAGAGGACAAGAAGACCTGGAGGAACATTGTCCATGGGGTCGCGATGGATCGGACACGACTTCACAATTAACAACAACAAGGATTCCTCTTGCTCCAGCACTTCTAATAACGGCATTTCGGAGGCCTGCAGAAGTGTAAAACCTGGAATTTTTGGATTTAAGTACCATATCATCGTTTCTCTTTAAAGAATGCCTAGAACTGATTGGGTCTGTCACCTTGCTGAAAAGAGTACGATCACAATACTGTATTATTTGTTTCATCTTGAAGAGCTACATACCCCTTGTGGACGACAGCAGATATATAGCACATTCTTTAGACTGCATTTCAATTATTGGATAATGAGCAGTGACTTGACTCAAAAGTAACCTTCTCCTCTAGCTGCTATAGAGCTTTCTGTGACATTTTTCCTTCTGTTATCAGTGAAGTCCTTCCAATCTGTTTATTTGTAGTTGGTTCTGGAAAGATGGCACAGGTAATTTCTATCTACTTTAAGTATACAGGTGGCATAAATGTAACCTTTCTATTTCTTATTTGATTTCTCTATAAGAGGTGAACCAGGCTCAGCTTCAGAGCTTTATCTTCAGCACAAGAGAAATATTTGCTCATATGGTTTTCCCCCCTTAAAGGGGGGAAATAAAATACAATGCTTTATGCTACTACTCGTGAAGTGTTAATCCCACTTTACAACGCCTTGGTAAGGCCACACTTCGAATCCTGCATCCATTTTTGGTCACCACGATGTAAAAAAGATGCTGAGACTCTAGAAAGAATGCAGAGAAGAGCAACAAAAATGATCAGGGGACTGGAGGCTAAAACATATGAGGAACGGTTGCTGGAATTGGGTATGTCTAGTCTAATGAAGAAAAGGTCTAGGGGGGACATGATAGCAGTGTTTCAATATCTGAGGGACTGCCCCAAAGAAGAGGGAGTCAAGCTATTCTCCAAAGCGCCTGAAGGCAGGACAAGAAGCAACGGATGGAAACTAATCAAGGAGAGAAGCAACCTGGAACTAAGGAGAAACTTCCTGACAGTTAGAACAATTAACCAGTGGAACCACCTGCCTCCAGAAGCGGTGAATGCTCCAACACAGGAAGTCTTTAAGAAGAGACTGGATGGCCATTGGTCTGAAATGGTATTGAGTTTCCTGTCTGAGCAGGGGGTTGGACTAAATGACCTCCAAGGTCCCTTCCAACTCTGTTACTCTGTTAAATTCTTATCACTACAATTAGGAAAAAACTGAACAAGTATGGTTTGTTTGGAAGGGTTGCCAGGAGAGAGGGAAGGGAAGGGAAAGAACCCCAACAGAGATATCACATGTGATTTCAGATAGTCCTTCAACTGAGTATGTTAGTCAACTGTAACATCAACTCTCCCGCACTCACTCATCAGAAACCAAAACTATCCTATGTTTAGTGAAAGCAACAGCTTTAGTTAAAATTTACCGTTTATTGCTGATCTATCAGTTTTGTTTTGGGTTGGGTTTTTTATTGTTTTTTGCTATATTTAACAGGTGGAATATTGTTAACATAGCTTAAAAATAGTAGCATCTATGGGAAAGCTTCCCAATTAGTAGCAGTTGCCACAATAACCTTTCTCAGAATACAGGCTATGTATAAAACTGATAGAGTTACTATAGCAACTAAAGGCAATTTCAAGACACCATTAATGAGAAATGCAGTATTTGTGTCACAGAAGGAATTGGATGCTGTTGTTAGCCGCCACTATTTAAAGAACATGATACTTTTTGTTCTACTCCAAGGAGCAGTAGAGAGTAAAAGAGCTAGGAAAGACAGTTTAACATCTTCGTAACAACCACACTGGATGATCCTCAAAAGAGTGGCATTCGCTCCTTAAGTTGTGGATGAGAAAATTGTCAGTTCCCAGCTGTTATCTTGAGTTGGTCTGTAGCCTGAGTGTCACATGTGCATATACAAAAGATAGAGGAAGAAGAAATCCCAGGGACAGTGATTGCTAGTGGTAGCAATCAGACACACAAACACAATCTTTCAGGAGTCCCTTGTTTGGGGAGGGGGAGGCAGGAGGAAATGTATTTATAATTAGAGACCTTTTTAAATTGTCGCTGAAAGTAGCACATAGCTTTCTATCAAATATGACAAGATAGAATAATGTTCCAGTTTCAAAATCCATCCGAGGTATTTTTCAATAAAAATCCTCTGTATTCTATTAAAAAATACAGGTAGCCCTCAATTTACAATTATTAATTGTAATTACAATTGTTAATGCATTAACAGAGGGATAGAATCAAGATCAGGTGAAGTGCTGATACCACTTTACAATGCGTTGGTAAGGCCACACTTGGAATACTGCATCCAGTTTTGATCACCACAATGTAAAAAAGATGTTGAGACTCTAGAAAGAGTGCAGAGAAGAGCAACAAAGATGATTAGGGGACTAGAGGCTAAAACATATAAGGAACAGTTGCTGGAATTGGGTATGTCTAGTTTAACAAAGAGAAGGACAAGGGGGGACATGATAACAGTGATCCAGTATCTCAGGGGCTGCCACAAAAAAGAGGGAGTCAAGCTAGTCTCCAAAGCGCCTGAAGGCAGGACAAGAAGCAACGGATGGAAACTAATCAAGGAGAGAAGCAACCTAGAACTAAGGAGAAACTTCCTGACAGTGAGAACAATTAACCAGTGGAACCACCTGCCTCAAGAAGCGGTGAATGCTCCAACACTGGAAGTTTTTAAGAAGAGACTGGACAGCCATTTGTCTGAAATGGTATAGGGTTTCCTGCCTGAGCAGGGGGTTAGACTAGATGACCTCCAAGGTCCCTTCCAGCTCTATTCTATTCTATTCTACTCTACTCTACTCTACAACTATTCGTTTAGTGACCATTTTAAGTTACAATGGCACTGAAAAAAAAGTGACTTATCATTTTTCACGCTTATGACCATTGCAACATCCCCAGGGTCGCCTGACAAAAAATTGGATGCTTGGTAACTGACTCATATTTATGTTGGCCGCAGCGCCCCGGGATCATGTGATTCCCCTTTTTGCAACCTTCTGACAAGCAAAGTCAATGCAGAAGCCAAATTCACTTAACAATGGTGTTACTAGTTAGCTGTCGTGATTCACAACAACTGTGGCAACAGATATCGTAAAATGGGGATAAAATTCACTTAACCACCATCTTGGCTTAACCAGAGGAATTTTGGGCTCAACTGTGATCGTAAGTGGAGGGCTACCTATATTTTGTATACTAGGAAAACAACCAATGCCAATATATAGTAGTTGCCAAAATTGTGGAAATCATTGGGGAAAAGTATATAGTAGAAATGCCACCTTTGGTTAAGTTTCCAACCATTTTTCTTCTAATTTCTGTATAACTGTAACCTTGTTCACTTAATAATACTATTTTACATCGCTTTCTGGGCAACCAGTCAACTCTTTGCACAATGACTTTAATTTTATTACGTTTTACTAGCTCACTCAATGAAAGAACACAAAAAACCCAACCGACTTGATAGCAATCACTTAACACACTGACAAATGTCCTCCTCTCGGCTTCAGTACATGACATCAATACCTGAATCCTACTGTGATCTGACTGGCTCATGGCCAAAACAAAGTGACACCCGATTGGCTCTCTAAACGCTCACGCTCATTGGCTGCAATCAGATGAAGGAAAGCTACCTGAGATCAACCTAAGCAAGTTGTGCTTCCTTTTTCTGGTTATTTGGCTATATCGTTTCATAGAATACAGTACAGATAATCGAACAAACTTTGTTGCATTACATTCTTGATTAAATGATCTTTCCATTGATATATAATTTTATGGTACTGCTCCCAAAAACAAGAGGTGTTATTAGCCATCAAACCTCAAAAATACACTTTTCCCAAAAGGTTTCCACCATTTTGGCCACTACTGTATCTTAGCTTTCAAATGGTTATATGGATCAGCTTTCGGTTTTTTATCTGACTTATTGTTTAGGTGAGTTCATTATTTTCCAGGAATGCGTGTGAAGCGTAAAATGGAAAAGCTGCCCGTTTTCCATAATCAGATCTTCACTTCTCAAGCTTCAGCTAATCCTTTCAGATGAGGCTTGTGGCTTTATGAATGCCCAAAGGGTGGATTCTTACTGCCATAAATGATAATAAATGAATAACTGATGGGTTCTGCTGGCTGACGGAGTATTTCAGTTTTGAGACAAATGAAAAGAAAATCTCCATTAATGCAGAAGGGAGAATAAGGGACTTGGAAATTCGGAAATTGCGGGTTTCCTCAAGGAAACAATAATCAAATACCAACTTTTTGCTTTCTTTGACGTCCGGTGGCTGATTATACACATCAGCCTACATTTTCTAGAGCCAGCACGTTCTTCAGTTGCCAGAGAAAAGAACATTTACAAAACTATTTTCAAATGCAAACGAAAAGAACGGCATTTCATGATATGTTTCACCTCTTTTCCTACTTTTAATCACCTTTAATTACATGCTTTGCCTATCTTCTTCCTGTCCAGCTCTTCCTTTTATTGCTCACCTGCTTGGGTGGTAAAAATACTCTTTTTTTAAAAAAATTGTAAGAAAGGGAAGAGGTGAGTCAATCAGGTTGCCAACAGCTGGAATTAAATCACTGGATTTTAAAAAGGAAAATAACTCGCTGACATGGTTGTGGAATACAAATTGTTGTCAACTGTTATTACATAATCCAGACTCTCCTAAAATGACATTTGTTTCTTCTAAGGCAGGGGTAGGCAACCTTGGCTCTTTTATGACTCGTGGAGTTCAACTCCCAGAATTCCTGAGCCAGCCAGGAGGGGAAAGAGAGAGGTTTCCAAGCTGAGCCAGGCTGGCTCAGGAATTCTGGGAGTTGAAGTCCATGAGTCATGAAGGGGCCAAAGTTCCCCCATGCTGGCTGAGGAATTCTGAGAGTTGAAGTCCACGAGTCATAAAAGAGCCAAGGTTGCCTACCCCTGGGCTAGTCTAAAGAAAAGAAGAAATAGGGGAGACATGATAGCAGCGTTCCAGTATCTGAGGGGCTGCCACAAGGCAGAGGAGACCAGGTTGTTCACCAAAGCACCAGAGGGCAGGACAAGAAACAATGGTTGGAAACTGGTCAAGGAGAGAAGCAACCTGGAATTAAGGAGAAACTTCTTGACAGTGAGGACAATCAACCAGTGGAACAGCTTGCCTCCAGAAATCGTGGGCGCTCCATCACTGGAGTTTTTAAAGAAGAGACTAGACAATCACCTGTCTGAGATGGTACAGGTTCTCCTGCTTGAGCAGGGAGCTGGACTAGAAGACCTCCAAGATCCCTTCCAGCTGTATTCTATTCTATTCTATTCTATTCTATTCTATGCTATGCTATGCTATGCTATGCTATGCTATTCTAGAAACAACCTAGAACTAAGGAGAGGACATAAGAACCACTTTGGTCTAGCACAGAGGGTCGGCAACCTTGGCTCCTTTAGGACTGGTGGACTTCAACTCCCAGAATTCCTGAGCCAGCCATGCTGAGGGGAAAGGGAGAGGTTTCCAAGCTGAGCCAGGCTGGCTCAGGAATTCTGGGAGTTGAAGTCCACAAGTCATAAAAGAGCCAAGGTTGCCTACCCCTGTTCTAGGGAGAACTCTAGGATATCATGAGCTCTGATGATGCAGTGGTTAGAATGCGGGATTGCAGGCTGACTCTGCCCACAGCCTGGAGTTCGATCCTGATGGGCTCAAGGTTGACTCGGCCTTCCATCCTTCTGAGGTTGGGAAAATGAGGACGCGGATTGTTGGGGGCAATACGCTGACTCTGTAAACCGCCTAAAGAGTGCTGTAAAGCCCTGTGAAGCGGTATATAAATCTAAGTGCTACTGCTATTGCTATAACATAACTCTGCTAAGCTCCTGATTAACAGCTTGTACAACTGTACTGTTTACTTAACTGCAATATTGCATGACATTTATTTATTTGTATCTCTTATGGTTTTTACAAATAACATATCCAACACACCTTCCTCCTCTGATATTCCCCACAACGACAACCCTGCAAGGTGGATTGGGCTGAGAGAGAGAGAAAGATTGGCCCAAGGTCACCCAGCTGGCTTTCATAACTAGAGCAGAACTTGAACTCACAGTTTCCTGTTTTCCAGTCTGATGCTTTAACCACTAGACCAAACTAGATCCCATTGTTCTTATAAAATTTCCTCTTTTTTTAAAAAAAATCCGTTTTTCCTTCCCAGTCACCCTCCACATATTGTCATACCGGAAAAAAATGCAAAAATCTCCCTGATACAAAAATAAATTCAACAGAATAATCTTTTTCAAATGAAAACACTTTCTTCAGTATAAGGCTTGGGCATACAATAAACTGGTGTATCTTGAAAAAGAGGCGAGCCCAGTAAAATAAAAGGAAGTCTGAACTTACCGCTGACATTCTCCGGCATGCAACACTAAATTTTCATTGTTCTTTGCACTGATCATGAGTTCATGTTCCGTTGAGTTGAATACATCAAGGAGCAAATGGCACTGGCGAGTACTATTTGGAAAATTAAAATACTGTAAGTAAAATAGAATCAAGATCATGTGATTAATACCACTCTTCAATGCCTTGGTAAGGCCACACTTGGAATCCTGCATCCAGTTTTGGTCACCACGATGTAAAAAAGATGTTGAGACTCTAGAAAGAGTACAGAGAAGAGCAACAAAGATGATTAGGGGACTGGAGGCTAAAACATATAAGGAACAGTTGCTAGAATTGGGTATGTCTAGTTTAACGAAGAGAAGGATGAAGGGGGACATGATAGCAATATTCCAATATCTCAGGGGCTACCCCAAAGAAGAGGGAGTCAAGCTATTCTCCAAGGCGCCTGAAGGCAGGACAAGAAGCAACAGGTGGAAACTAATCAAGGAAAGAAGCAACCTAGAACGAAGGAGAAACTTCCTGACAGTGCGAACAATTAATCAGCGGAACAGCCTGCCTCCAGAAGCGGTAAATGCTCCAACGCTGGAAGTTTTTAAGAAGAGACTGGACAGCCATTTGTCCGAAATGGTGTATGGTTTCCTGCCTGAGCAGGGGGTTGGACTAGATGACCTCCAAGGTCCCTTCCAATTTTACTACTATTACTATTACTAAATATCGCCTCGAACATGTGGTAGCCATAATTATTATAATTATTATTAAACATACTGTACACTTTCACGGAACAATTTTCAAATCAATTATATACAACCCGTATGCAACCGACAAAATACAGAGTTTCTTGCACTAGCACACAGTTTTGTCACTGAATGAGACTGTGGCTATCTAAAAGAAAACATTTTTTTCACAAACAATTTACCTATCAAGGGGGAGAGGTTGCTACAACTATGATGTTGAGAGCAGATTAAGTTTTCTAACTTTCTTGTCTGTGAGATGGGGGGGGGGTGTCTCACTTAAGTTCAGTATCATCCCCTTGGGGACAATGAGATCACTTACTAGGCTACGTAAAAAATATTTTTCCTTATCCTTGCAATTAATTATTGTGGCTGGCGTACATTCATTTGATCCCAAACCAAATTTCATCTTGTCCTCTACACAAATGCTTGAGGCATCCTGGCCAAATATATCAGAATTGCACCAGTACTGTCACAACATATTGCAAGGAATACTGAAGAAGATAAGATAAGATAAGATAAGATAAGATATAAGATATAAGATAGGATAGGATAGGATAGGATAGGATAGGATAGGATAGGATAGGATAGGATAGGATAGGATAGGACAGGATAGGACAGGACAAGATAAGATAACCTTTATTGTCATTTTTTACTGTGGGCACAACGACACACATCAAAAATGAAATTTAGTTGCCCGCTCTCAAAGTGAACACATAAATGACACACACCTAAACATACTATATATAACATATGTATAGACCTACACATCTACATATAATATAACATATAAATATTAAACACTGTCCATCTTGAATACATAACGGAAGGAGGAAGCTTGAGAGTTCACAAAGTTTATACTCTATGGAACAAAACTGTGACTGGATTTTACCCCATTTAACAATTTTTAAGATAAGTTAAGTTAAGTTAAGTTAAGTTAAGATAAGATAACCTTTATTGTCATTTTTTTACTGTGGGCACAACGGCACACATCAAAAATGAAATTTAGTTGCCCACTCTCAAAGTGAAACACATGCATGACACACACTTAAACATACTATGAACAACATATGTATAGACCCACATCCCTACATATACGTAGCAAATAAATAATAAATACTGTCCATCTTGAATATATAACGGAAGGAGGAAGCTTGAGAGTTCACAAGGTTAATGCTGTATGGAATGAAACTATGGCTGAATCTGGATGTTCTGCTTTGGGTACCACAAAGCCTCCTTCCAGAAGGTAACAAGGAAAACAGGTTGTGAAGAGGAGGTGTCGTGTCCCAGATGATCTTATGGACTCTGCTCAAGCAACACTTCTGTGCTATGTCCTGGATGGGAGGGAGGGAACTGCCAATGATCTTTTCTGCCATCCTCACCACTCTCTGCACCGCCTTCCTGTCTGAAGCAGTGATGGCACAACTGTGGCGAGAAGCTGGTATGAAGAACTACAACCTAAGAGTAGATGATCTGCCCATAAAGTGACTGATAACAACATCCCTGACTTCAGATCATATTGTCATTGCCCCAACACAAAAAACGGATCTAGACCTGATCTAGTGTGTGACCTGCCAGTGAGTGAGGCCACTGATAATATGGATGAGGTCTGGACTCGCATCCAGATAATCAGCTAGTGGTGGATAGCTTCTAGTTTTTAGAATCAACTATCAATGGCAAAGGAACTAACATTTAAGAAGTATGCCATGGACTATGGTAAAATGGCCATAAAAATCTTGGAAAAGATGCCAAGAAATGTCTCTATCCACAAAACCAGAATTTTGAAGGCGATAGTTTTTCCTATGACACTCTATAGAAGCAAAAGTTGGACTTTGAAGAAATAAGACAGAAGAAATATTGACAATATTAAACTTTGGCATTGGAGAAGATTCCTTAGAATACCATGGATAACCAGGAAAACGAACAAATGGATCATCCAGTTCTCACCCAAGGCTTAAATAACCATACTTAGATTATCATACTTTGGACACACTATGAGAAGACCTAGCTCTCTGGAGAGGTCTATAATGCTGGGAAATGTGGAAGGGATGAAAAAGAGGATACTAGCACAAATGTGGAGTAGTGATGGATGAACCAGGTGGTCCGGAGTAATTTATGAGATCTTTAAGAATCGATCCTGGTTCAATGGTACATAACAAATATTTTTATAAACCATTGACAAATAAAAAGGTAAACTGGGAATAGAACAGAACAAAACAGAACAGAATAACAGAGTTGGAAGGGACTTTGGAAGTCATCTAGTCCAACCTCCTGCTCAGGCAGGAAACCCTATACCATTTCAGACAAATGGCTGTCCAGTCTCTTCTTAAAAACTTCCAGTGTTGGAACATTCACAGCTTCTGGAGGCAGATTGTTCCACTGGTTAACTGTTCTAACAGTCAGGAAATTTCTCCTTAGTTCTAGGTTGCTTCTCTCCTTGATTAGTTTCCATCCGTTGCTTCTTGTCCTGCCTTCAGGTGCTTTGGAGAATAGCTTGACTCCCTCTTCTTTGTGGCAACCCCTGAGATACTGGAAGACTGCTATTGTGTCACCCTTCATCCTTCTCTTCATTAAACTAGACATAACCAATTCCAGCAACTGTTCTTTATATATTTTAGCCTCCAGTCCCCTCATCATTTTTGTTGCTCTTCTCGGCACTCTTTCTAGAGTTTCAACTCTAGGGTACAAATTGTGTACAATAGTGTACAAATTGTCTCTTATTTTTGCTCAAAAGAATTTCTTGATGAATTACTCTTATAAAAAATAAGATGAAGAAAAAAAAAATAGATGAAGCAACAAATCTAGCCACATGTTCATTGCTGATAAGCCTTCATATATCTATAGATCATGATATCCAAGAATTTTAATAGTAAAGTCACTACTATTTGAGCCTTTGGCAGAAAAAAAAAGAGTATTTCAGAATTGGCGTTAAGCTTCATTATCGATATTACTCATTTTACATGAAGAAATACTTTTCTCAACAAACACAACTTACCTTGTTGCAGGCAAGGTACTGACACGTGTGAAAAACACAGATGGCTCAACGTCCACGTGAAGCCCCAGGGACAAATTCCTATAATATCCATCAGTATGTCCGGGGCCGCCTGAGTATCTGAAATTCAAGATGGCTTCCAATGTCTAAAAATAGAATAGTAAAAATATTTAATTTATTCATTTCTGCCATGGTGCTATTTATTTCTAAATTGCTCCGATAGCTTCAAACACCTAACCCAAACATGTTAGGTGACAAATTATCTGTGTAACATGATATACACATCATGAAATGCAGACGTTCAACATTAAATGTATACTACGCAACCTGTAGATGACCAGGCTGAGCCCGAGGGAGGAGGGGTCAAATGCGTCATCAATCTCGAATCCCTTCTCGTCCACAAGAGTCCAGCCCCACTTAATTTCTGCTGATTCTTATCTACCTCCAATTCGCTTCGACTGTTAGTAGTTCAGATTCTTGTGGAGAGAGCGTAAACTTGCAAAACATCTATACATTCATTTGTACTGCCCGGGCTCCTGATGTCAATGCTGTTAACATCGGATGTTCTTGCTTGACAATATATGAAGATACAGACATTTTCTATTTAACCTGTGTATTACTTTTAGAGTTAAAATTAGATGGTGCTAGAGGGGAGGGGGAAGAATGTGCTTGGGGACTAGTTAGCCATAACAATATCTCAGTAGAGTATTCTTCAAGATTGGTTGTAATAAGAGGAGATAAGTAAGGGCGGATTATGGAACAGGAGGGAAAGTTTGCACTTCAAACTAATTGGAGAATGTGATTAATGACTGTTAAATGAAGGAGTGAGTTATGCTTAGATACTGTGTGTTTGGGGGGGAGAATTCAGATTTTGGCTTCTTTTATGTACGTGCTGAAGCTATGTTGTTATTAAAGAAATTAAAAGACACTTGCTCCTGGGGAGGAAAGCTATGGCAAATCTAGACAGCATTCTAAAAAGCAGAGACATCACCCTGCCAACAAAAGTGCGTATAGTCAAGGCCATGGTTTTCCCAGTTGCAATGTATGGCTGTGAAAGTTAAACCATAAGAAAGGCTGAGCGCCAAAGAATTGAGGCCTTTGAACTCTGGTGCTGGAGAAGACTCCTGCGAGTCCCTTGGGCTGCAAGGCGTTCAAACCGATCAGTCCTAGAAAAGATCAACCCCGACTGCTCTTTAGAAGGCCAGATCCTGAAGTTGAAACTCAAGTACTTTGGCCACCTAATGAGAAGGAAGGACTCACTGGAGAAGGGCCTAATGCTGGGAAAGATTGAGGGCAAGAGAAGAATGGAACGACAGAGAATGAGATGGCTGGATGGAGTCACTGAAGCAGTAGGTGTGAATTTAAATGGACTCCAGAAGATGGTAGAGGACAGGAGGACCTGGAGGAATGTTGTCCATGGGGTCGCGATGGGTCGGACATGACTTCGCAATTAACAATTTAGCAGAAATCTATAAAGTTTCTTAATCAAATTTTCATCTGTTTTCAAGAGTATTTGGTCAAATTCTTTATAGAATCCCATTGTCTTTACATCTTTCTCATATCTTGTTTGGATTTGTAGGTAAGGCCACCATGATAGGTCAGTACCTTGTTGTTGTAGGTCTTGCCTGTCTTTAAGTTTTCCGTCCTTATCCAAAATGTCTTCATAGGTAACGAGTTTGTCGTAATTAATTAAATTTGGGTAAGCCAAAGCTTCCATTGTTGAAAGCCATTCTGGTATTTTAATATAAAGATTACATTTTTATAATTGCTGACTTTGGATCGTATTGGCTGGAGATGATGAAATCCTTAAGGACATTGCTGGTGTGGTGGTGAAGGTGTTGGCCTACAAACCAGGAGATTGTGAGTTCCAGTCCTGCCTTAGGCATGAAAGTTAGCTTGGTGACCTTGGACCAGTCACTCTTGCTCAGCCCAACTCACCTCAACTGGTTGTTGTTATGGGGAGTGGGATAGGAGGAGGAAGCAGCATTATGTATGTTCACTGCCTTGAGCTGACACACCTACATGCAAAATAAACAAGCCCACACATTTTTAACATAAAGAGATGATGATGATGATGAGGAGGAGGAGGAGGAGGATGGTGGTGGTGGTGGTGGTGGTGGTGGTAACGGAGGAGGAGGAGGATATGCAGCTTTACTTTGAACAGCTTACATCATGCTTTACCTTTAACACCATCAAAATCAACACCTGCCTATTCCAGGTCTATGGGAAGGATTTAACAGGTGAATAAAAATGCCAAACATAGACTAAACCTTTGGCTGACTCTGCAACCAACTGTAATAATAATAATGTAGAAATCCACTGGATTCTATTCAGTGCTCAAAACCCTTAACCTGTCCTGCCCCTCCGACTCACAAAAACTGGCACTCTGGAGCGTTGATGGCTTTGTTTGGCTTTTCACATGAAATTACTTCAGTTCCCACCCGCAAGTCTTGAAACTAAAAATGTCATAAAACGCGGGACACAATATTCATGAAAGGGGTCGGCGGCTTTCTGAGAAAGTAAATCTGGAGGGGGCAAACAGCTGCATTTTTACGCAGCTCTTCCTAGTCTCAAGACCTCAAGAGTAATGGTTACCTGCAGTGAGGTAAATTTGCAACAAAGCGTCCATGATCTTACTGTGCTACGTCCATTAATCTTAATGCAGACTTCACAGCTAGAGGCCCATTCGCTGCCCTGAAAGTACATCTAAAGTGCGGCACAGAGCATGACAGAAAATGTTATTAAATTGATGAATGACGGTTTTCTATTTGCAATATACAGATAAACTCCAGGAATGAATGACCTGGGAGAAAACAGATGGAGTTCCATCACCCTAATGCAGGGGTACGCAACTTTGGCTCTTTTATGACTCCTGGACTTCAACTCCCAGCATTCCTGAGCCAGCATGGCTCAGCTTGGAAACCTCTCCCTTTCCCCTCAGCGTGGCTGGCTCAGGAATTCTGGGAGTTGAAGTCCACGAGTCATAAAAGAGCCAAGGTTGCCTACCCCTGCCCTAATGTAAAGAACTAAACCTGAAACATTGAGGGTGTAATATCAAAGTTTTTTTCTAATTCAGTGACCTCCAATCTTTTTTGGGACCAGGAAAATTTTTTTTCCATGGACTGGCAACGGGATGGGGGGGATGGTTCCACACGCTAGCTAGATCCTGCGTATACGTAGATGAAGTTTCCCTCGCTTGCACAGCCTGGTTCCTAATAGGCCGGGGACCAGGACCGGTTCATGGGCCAGTGGTTGCCCCCCCCATTTCTAATTCATTGGGTCCACTGAGGCAGAGTGTCTCAACAGCATGCTCAGTCTGGGAATCCAACATAAAGCATCTCATTTAGATGGCTGCCAAGCCTTCTTATGAACATGAGTCCACCACCCTGCTGGTCACTGATTCCACTTCTATTTGGAACTGGTTTTTAATCATTCGACTGGTGTCTAGGGCTATGCAGGTTTGTCGGGTTTGAGGCACCAAATGGGATTCGGGTAACGCGGAGTGAGTGGGTGGGGTATACCTGCCAGAAATACTTCAGAACAGCTGCATTTTTTTTTATTAGGCTCGCACCTGACTTCTTTCAGCATCTAAATATTGGCTTATGAGGGTACCTATTGTTTGTCTGCCAACAAAAGTGCGTATAGTCCAGGCCATGGTTTTCCCAGTTGCAATGGATGGCTGTGAAAGTTGGACCATAAGAAAGAATGGAGGCCTTTGAACTCTGGTGCTGGAGAAGACTCCTGCGAGTCCCCTGGACTGCAAGGCGATCAAACCGGTCAGTCCTAAAAAAGATCAACCCCGACTGCTCTTTAGAAGGCCAGATCCTGAAGTTGAAACTCAAGTATTGTGGCCACCTAATGAGAAGGAAGGACTGACTGGAGAAGAGCCTAATGCTGGGAAAGATTGAGAGCAATAGAAGAAGAGGACGACAGAGAATGAGGTGGCTGGATGGAGCCACTGAAGCAGTAGGCGGGAGCTTAAAGGGACTCCAGAAGATGGTAGAGGACAGGAAGGCCTGGAGGAACGTTCTCCATGGGGTCATGATGGGTCAGACACGACTTCGCATCTAACCACAACATTGTTTGTCTATAGCAGGGGTTTTCAAACTTGGCCCTTTTATGACTTGTGGACTTCAACTCCCAGAATTCCTCAACCAGGCATACTGGCTGAGGAATTCTGGGAGTTGAAGTCCACAAGTCAGGTCTGAAGACCCCTGCCTTAGAGACTGATGAATTTATGCCCCACAGACCATCATCCCCTTGACCAGAGAAGACATTTGTTGTTGTTAGTTGCGAAGTCGTATCAGACCCATCGCGACCCCATGGACAACGTTCCTCCAGGCCTTCCTGTCCTTCCTTCTGCCAGATGTTATTGTCATTTGATACGTCTATAGAGATTCCCAATCATCCCAAAATCATTCCAAAAGTTGTCCCAAAAGTGCTTTTTCCAAAAGGCAACTGAACCTACTTGGGTTTTTTTTATTTGAAAACATTTTACTTCTCATCCAAGAAGTTTCTTTTCAAGAAACGGAACAATCTTCTTGGATGAGAAGTGAAACATTTTCGAAGAAAATAACCAAGAAGTGCTTCTGGATACTGATGAAGTATATTGACATGTGGACAGTCAATCATATAATGGATCTGGCCCAACTACTATGAAGATACTCTACCTGACAAGTATCTTTAGAATTTGGTCTTGGGGGAGACGCTGGAGTGGGAGGGGGATGGTAAACCATCTGGATTTTTTTAGCAGGGGTTTTGAATCCTGTCCTAAAACATCCGTCAGATGAAATTCTTCAAAAGAACTTCGAGGCATTGTTTACCTTAAAGAATATTTTGAGTAGCATAACATCGGCAGTGCATAATCAAGCCAAAAACTGAATTCCCCTCCCCTGAGCACATAGTATCAAAGCACAATTCCCTCCTCCAATTAACTGTCATAAATCACATTCCCCAATTAGTTTGAAGCGTGGGCTTCCTCTCCAGTTCTCCAGCCGCCAAGTCCTTATCAGCTCTGGTTACAATAACCTTGTTTCTAAGGCTAGGTTCAGTGTTGTTATGTCTAGCACACTGGTGGCGAACCTATGGTACACGTGCCAGAGGCGGCACTCAGAGCCCTCTCTGTGGGCACGTGCACCATGCCCCG